GAGTACGAAAGAGCCTAAAATAGATTATTTAAAATAAAATGATAATGCGTCATAGATAACATACCGCAAAACGGCCTTAAACTTGTAAGATAAATCCGCAGCAATGCGTCATCAGCGAAATTGGAAGTAAGATGATAAGAGAAAACTTCACTAATCTTAGTACCACACCACTAATTAATCCCAATAAAGGTATACGAATATGTCAAGTAAGTGTAATGGCGTGTAGTTCAAATACAAGTCAAGATTGAATCGAGTTCTTCAACAAGGACTGCGCGCGTCGACAGTGAGTGGGAGAAGATACAACCGCGCCAATCAACAGAACACTAGACAAAAGTATTTTTAAAAGAAAACTATATCGCAAATAAAGGATCGGGTTATAATGTGAACACCTAGATGGCGTAAGGATTGCTATATAAAGGTAAGAGTTCACATAATGTTATTCGAGAGGGATTCCACATAGTAATTCAAATATAAGCCAAAGCAAAGATTACAGGGTAAAGAAAATAACGTCACAACCTGTGTATCAGTAACAATTTCTACTATTGTATTATCATCAATGATTATGCCCTCGGTAACAAAATTATTTTCCATTGTAATGGATATGCACTATGCACTATTTAAAAAATACGGAGCACTTTATACTGCTATTTATTAAGACGCCGAACGTACGAAGTGACAAGACAAACACGCCAGTGGAGCGTGGACCGTGCGCGCGCTTGTACCTACTACGTACATTTAGAACTATATACCAAATAAAGCAGTTAAATCATAAAATGTAAATTTAACGTAACAAAAGAAAAGGAGCTGCATTTTGAAATATTATCGTGCTATATTACTAAATAAAATTCTAGGAATCATAATAAAGGGACTGTCGGTTTAAAACATATTTAGGGTCAATCAGGGTAAATGTGGCAATGGGGTAAGTGTGGCAAGAGCTAAAAAAAAATTACAAAGGGTCCCAAACACCAAAATGGCTAGTCATAAACAAGAGAGGACATTTCCTTAAGCCAACAACAAATGTGTAATGTTTGCCCCATCTGTTGCCTAGCAATATGTGTATTCGGAACTACCTATTTACAGTTTGTGAATCAGTTGTTTAAAATATTAGGCATCACTGGTAAGTGTGGCAGCACTGGTATGGGAAAGTGTGGCAGTAACAGAATCAGCTGTTAGTTCGGACATTGTGAGGTTAGTTTGAGTGGTGTGTTACTTTATACTTTATAGTCGTGGATCTAATTTCTTAGTTTTGTTTGTTTACCTAAAAGCGAGCCTAAAAGTAAGTGTATTCTACCAATCTGGATGTAACGATCTTAATCTTAATTTATCTTTCCATAAGAAAATGCCAAGAAAATACATCAGGAAGACAAACAGGGGCGTAGGCGGACGTTGGTCCGCAGAAAGTTTGAAAAGTGCCATAGATGAGATACAATCCGGTCAAATTAATGTCTACAGTGCTGCAAAAAAATATGAAATACCGAGATCGACACTAATGTTAAAATTAAAGGGCTGGAAAGGCAAAAATCCTAGAACGTCCACCATTAATATAATCAATGCTGGGGGTCGAAAAACGCAGTTACCTCAAGAGACTGAAGAAAAACTCTCTAAATACATAAAAGTAATGAATAAGTGGGGTTTGGATTGACAAAAAAAGATGTGTTAAACCTGATAAAAGATTACGTTACTCAAAATAATATTCCCAATGGTTTTACAAATAACATGCCTGGGCACGACTGGTGGATCGGTTTTAAAAATAGGTGGAGGCTGACTTTAAAGAAACCAGAATTATTAGAATCCTCTAGAGCTAGACAAGCAAATGATCCATTTATTGTTATGGACTTTTATAATAAATTGGAAATAATAATAAATGACCTGAAAATTAAAGACAAACCTCAGTGCATCTATAACTGTGATGAAAGTGGATTTAATCATGATCCTCTGTGTTCAAAAGTAGTTACTGGAAAAGGAGATCCCTCCTCACGAGTAACTGGTGGAAGTGGGCGTGAGTATACCACAGTATTAGCTTGCATATCTGCCAGTGGTGAAAAAATGGGTCCAATGATTTTACATAAAGGAAAGAGATTATGGACGTCGATGTTTTGTGAAGATGCATTTCCGGGAACGTCTTATTTTGTTAGTGAAAATGGATGGATGACGGAATTAGTTTTTACCTCATGGTTCCGAAAGATATTCGTACCTAACGTAAAAGAATTTCCAGCATTACTGATTTATGACGGTCATCTGTCGCATATTAGTGTGGAATTAATTGAATGTGCAGTTAGCTCAAATGTAACAATTCTTAAACTTCCTCCTCATACATCCCACCTTCTTCAACCATTAGATGTGTCAATCTTTAAGTCTGTTAAAACTCGATGGGATACTCTTTTGACTGAATGGACAAGATTGAATATCGGATCAAAAATATCAAAAAGCGATTTTGCTCAACTGCTAGGCAAGGCGTGGGAATCAATAACACCTGATAACGTCCGAAATGGATTTATGAAAACGGGCATATATGACCCCAATTTATCCGGCTCTAGTACATGTGTAAACAGGAACGCAATTGATTGCAAACATTTTGATCCAGAAAAATATGAAAGATATTTGACTTCAGTAAAAAGCCAAGAGAAGTCCGACACCCTGCCACTTCCAAACAATGATTTATTGACACCTGCATCATCCTCCAATAACGACACTGTTGCCAAAATCCCGGAACCTTCTACTCCACCACCAGTTAAGGAGACACCATCAAAAACTTTTGAAAGATTGGTTTTAGCTAAATTGTCAGCATCGGGTAGGTCAAGCGCCGCAAAGCAGGCTCGCAAAAGAATAGATGTTGCAGAAGTTATTACCCAGGATGAATACCTGAAGGCTCTTAAAGAACGCAAGGGTAAAGAAAACATAAAACCAGTTGAAGATTCGCGGAAGAAGAAACACGCATTAAAGCAACTAAAGACAAAAAATGCAAAACAGAAAAAACAGGAAATCCCAAACATCAGTTCTAGTGAGGATGCTGATCAAGAAATTACCTCTGGTGAAAGCAGTGATTATGAGCCACCTACCCTCGACCAACCATGTGATCTATCAAAAATGGATGTGTACAGTGTTGGCTCATATGTGCTTGTGCAATTCAAAGGCGGGAAACGAAATCAGAGCAAGTATTATTATGTGGCAATAATTCAATCTGTTGATCAAGACGACGACGAAGAAGAATATAAAATAATGAGCCTTAAATGCACAGACCATACAAAGAAGATGTTCCTTGCTGATGAAAATGACATTTCTTTTATTGCAAAGGAGCAAGTAATGGGGCAGTTGCCAAATCCAGAATTACTAATGACAGGGGAGAGAATGCGGTATGTTTTCCCTGGACCTGTGGACCAAGTATTTGAAATGGCTTAATAATAATGTGAAGAAGACAGTTTTAAGTTTTTAAACATTAATTGTATGGGTTCAATATCTTTTATAAGAAAAAAATGTATATACTTTTCTTATATAAAAAATTCTCAGCATTTCAGTCACACTTTCCCCTTTGATCTATCTTCGATATCTTAGAAAATATTCACGTTTGCCACACTTTTCCATTCCCGTGTCACACTTACCCCTTTTAATGGTAAAGTGTGGCACTGGACATCCATTATTATTTCAATTTTTTTTCAAAAATCAGTTTCTCTTTTCAATCAATATATCCACGGATAATAATGTACTGACCTTATTAAAGATTTAAAAAAAACCGTAGATGTCTATGTCTAGTGGTTTTTGTAAAAAATTACGTCAAAGTCAATTAATAAAAAAAGCAATCACACTTTCCCCGATTGACCCTAAAGAAAAACAGTTAATTATAGGTGGCGGTATGAACAAATCAAGCATACAAATCTTCGCATTGAAACGGTCACCGTTATTATTACCAAAATTCATTTGCTTTTGTGAAGGTGGTATGTTATTTTTTTTAATATTTTAAAACTGCCAACAAATCAAGTAATGAAGACACCAAATTGAAATAAAATTAGATAAAAACGAATTCACAAAAATTTGCATTACGATTTATTACACTCTCGTCTTTGATAGTTATTTATGCAATGAGTGTATAAATGAGGCGTTTTATTGGTGAGCGAGATGTTTAGTGCAGATGTTTAGCGCAGCGAGTGGACTAAATTCGAACGAATTCGACTTCACTGGGGTAGGTAATTTTAAATTCAACTACTTCAAACGAAATTATGAGCTCCGACGATTTTTCACTAAATTACAGCTATTGTCGTTGCTATAGTAATGTGTTGTTTTATGCTGTACCCTCAGTCCTCGTAATCGCAGTGGAAGATTATGTTGCTTGCTCTGCTGCGGAGACGATTTTAACATTATATCCACTCAAATCAAAAGAAACTTATTTGAACGGTTTCGATCAGTTCGGCAATTGATGGAATACAATGAATTTGAAAGGAGATATTTTCGAAAATGTCAAGGTACATTTTACCTTGAAAAGGTATGTGGTGGTTGCTAACGATTAATGGTTGCTAACGTATAATGGTTGGTTGCTAACCATTAATGGTTGCTAACGATTAATAAGCTTCATCATTGTACTCGTCACTAAAGGTGCGTTGACACGGTGCTAGTGTGCTCGGCCGAGACCACTAGCATGCCTACTCGGCCGGTACTCGCATAAAACTCGTACTGTGTAAACAAACAAGCGAGTACACTTGACAGTTGTAAATTCTCGTACGAGTTAGTCGGTCGTCTTCCAACTTTCGGCGTGCGAGTTTCATGCTAGTTCTCTTTTAAAACATGGCGGTCAAAAGATGGACAGAAGCGCAAACTCTTAAATTTGTTGAATTGTATGAAGATGCAGAATGTTTATGGAATTTTCGGCATGCCCTTTATAAAAATAAAGACGCAAGAGACACAGCCTCAAGAAATTTGATTAACCAAATGAATTTACCGAATTTTGATAACAATGATCTGAAAAATAAAATCAAGAATATAAGAAGCACTTACGTCCAAGAAGTAAACAAAATAAAGCGTGCGATTAAATCCGGAATGTCACCTGATGAATCGTATGTTTCGCATTTGCCATGGTTTAACACAGCCCACAGATTTTTAAAGGAAGTGGTTAATACCAGGGAACATTTCTCAAATCATGTAAGTAGAAAATATACACATCAAATTTTATTTCAGGCTTATACACATTATTAGTCCCAAGCAAATCAGAATTAGTTTACTAGTGTATCATATTCCACTGCCATCCAACTGCCCCTTCTCCCATAAAATAATCGGTAAATTTTCTTCTGCAATTTGCAGCCAAAGTAGTGAAGTTGTTACTACCAATTCCACACACTATATCTTGTAATCCCAAACATGCATTTTCATTTCTCCATGAGCCTAATATAATTTGTCCATTTTCATCTTCCCTGTCAACAGAAGAAGGTGGCATGTAAGAATTAGGCGATGTTTGTCGTAGCCAATTGTGAATGGCACATGTAGCTTTGACGATATCATCCACTTTTTCAGGATTTAACAAAATATGTGCTCTGAAAATTCTGAAACGCATTGCCAAAACGCCAAATGCGTTTTCCACGATTCTCCTTGCTCTAGAGAGTCTATAATTGAATACTTTTTCAGAGTTTGATAAGCGACCATGCCTTGAATACGGTTTCATCAAATAATCTTTCAGTGGAAAGGCATCATCTCCAACAATAACCCCCCACTTTGGAAATCCTACTGATCCATTTTCTATTGCTGCCTTCAATGAACTATTCCTAAAAACCGTGCTGTCATTTACACGTCCATTAGATCCAATATCAATATAAGTAAAACAGTAATTGTGATCAACTAAGGCGAAAAGTATGGTGCTGAAATATCCTTTGTAGTTGTAGAAGTCACTGTGACTATTGTTGGGACACTGTATGTTGATATGCTTGCCATCTAGTGCGCCGCAGCATTTTGGAAACTGCCATCTCTCTTCAAAACCTTTTGCTATTGCTGCCCAATCGTTTGTAGATGTAGGCATCTAAAAATAGAAAATTTACTTGTTTAGTTGCAATAATTTGCATTTATTTCTTTCAGTTTGAAGAAATTGCTCAGTACTCTGGAGCCTCGCAATTGGAGCAAGAGAACTATGATGAAACTGAAGTGGAGGCAACATCAAATAAAGGTGAAATGAATGTTAGCCAATCGAATACTCAAGAGTTGAATATTCAAGAATCAGACACCCTTCGCACCACATTGTCTTCACCAATCAGAGATTTAACCAGGAAGCGACCCATGAACGACAGTACAACAAATGTGCCAACAACTTCACATGGCAGCATGAATCGATCAGCGACACCAAGCATTCCACGAAAGGCAAAACAGAAGGCGTCTAACTCAAAGGATACAGTTCCCCAATATGTCACAAGTGCCATCCAGTCACTGCAGGATCTAAAACGATCCACTGAAAGGACTGAAGATGAATTTTTTCATTTCGGAAATAATGTAGCCAGCCAACTGAGGCAACTTCCACTAGATCTTGCTTTGCATTGCCAGTCCGAAATTATGGCACTGTTAGCAAACCAACGTGTTACGTCGTTGCAGAGGTCACAGTCATTTGTCAATCGCTCACAATTTCATTCTGGACATGCTGAAACACCCATTCCACGATACTCCTCCGAAACTAATAGTACAGATTCTGGGGGGCAATATCAGTTTAGTGATAGGAACTACCAACATTCCCAAGAACCAGATACTATAACTGCTGCCATCAGAAGTATTGGTGGCTTTGATGCATTAAATTAATAATGTTTACTTTCACCTCGTTCACATGTACGTTATAACAATATTATGTATTTTCAGTTGCTTGTTTTTTCTAATACATACTAGAAATAAAGTTGATTTACTTACCTTTATAAAATCTTTCAATCCCTCATATATAGCTTTTAAGACTTCTGGTAGGAACTTGGATATGGTACTCTTTGGAATTCTATACATATGTTCCAATGTGCTGAACGAATCTCCAGTCGCCAAGTAACGAAGAGTAATCTGTAATTTTATTCTTGGCTCTACAGCAGCTCTCATCAAAGTATCTTGCTTTTTAATTAAATGTTCCACCATTGATAACAGTTCTTCAAATTGGTTTGTCGTTAACCTTAGGTGGTTTCTGAACGTCTCTGGATCCTCTAATGCTACTTCTCTGAGAAACGTTGCAGATGCACCAAACTCGTTTCGTCGTTTTATCCACTCCCGAATCCACATTCGTCTAGGACGTCGTTTTTTTATAGCATGCAAATTGTTTAATTCGTCGATTAGTAACTGTGCAACAATAGCAATACCAGCACGCACAATTTCTGCCATTTTGCATTATACTAAAACCAAGCTAGTAAAATTGTGTGTGTCAACAGAACTCGTACGATAGTTCACTCGCACCGAGCGGACTCGGCCGAGCACACTAGCACCGTGTCAACGCACCTTAAGGAGTAATTTATATTGTTATCGAGAGGTCGACGAAAAAATTAATTAGAATTCTTCTTAATTTCGATACACATTATTTTTCTCAGTGTAGGGCTAACCGGATAGTATCTCTACTTAATTGGCTTAATGTCGGCTGGTACAACGATTACATGTTCGCCAACTGTAGTAAACCCTAGCGCGGTACCCATGGATTCAAATTTTTCGTCAAGTAACCTATCTAGAGATTGCTGTTGGTCGGGTGCGAGAACAGTGCGATCTATTACTCCACATCTCACAATTGAGGAAGATGGCGAGAAGTGCCACACCTTATCAGTGAGGATATGGACAATACCGACTTTGTTCCAAAAATCTATTCCTAAAATTAGGTCAGTACTTAATTCAGGGATTACTAAAAATTTGATTATAACAGTTTTATCCTTTAAGGTAATCGGAGTAGTAATATAACCAAGGGATAAACAGGTCTCTCCATTGGCCACGGTACAAGCGAGTTTCGGGTATCATAGGCAATCCTAAACGTGTTAATATGGAACACCTCTCTCGTCCGATTATTGAACGAGACGAACCCGAGTCTAAAAGCCCCAGAAAGGAAATTCCACTAATACTAACTTTTATATACGGGCGGGCGTTGTTAGGTACAATAATGAAAGCGTAGGACTGAGAAAACGTACTACTAAATTTGTAGGATTATATGACCATTTTATTATACAAACATGTACTAAGCTGCATACAAAAAAATCAACCGGTTATAATGATGTGCAAACAAAGAGGTCATAAATGCTGTTATTACTATTATTATTAGTAACAGCGGGTGATATTGGGTATGCAGCTTAGTACATGTTTGTGTAATAAAATGATCATATGGTCCTTCAAATTTAATGGTATGTTTTCCCTGTCCTACACTTTAATTATTATTATTATTATTCACTTTTACTTAAGTACCTTTATCAAGACTTTTCACACAGGAACAACTTGTATGTCTCATTGGACCCAATCTACTCACGTAGCTTCAGCCTGTTATAAATCATTGACAGAACACGGGGTGGGCTGCTGAACTATGTAATTCATTCATTACAATAGTTGTTCAATTACTGCCTATTAAGCAAATTTTTACAGACAGTAGTCTGAAATATGTATTCACTTCCACGTATTGAAAAATCATATACGTACCTAATCCATAAGATGTGAGCATTTCACACTCTGCTTTTATTGGACAGTAGTCGCAATTTGCCCTTCTCAGTAAAAGAGTTTTTCTTTTAAAAAAACTGCATAACTTTCTTCCTCTTCTGGGAGTTCCAAGTTCGTTTCTACGAAAAGAACGCCTCGTTTGGTTGATAATCTTCTCAAAATCGTCATCATCATCATCGTGATGCAGAGCATTTGCAGCTGCAGTTATTATATGACGAACCGCATTTGCCATACCTGCATAAAACACTATATAAGTAAAGTTATAATAAATTACGATTTAAAAATATGTACAATCTATTTTATCAACACCCATTGTAGAAATCTAAAAGTTGCATCAATCTTAATTTAATTTTTCTATTCATGAAAAATTCCTGATTAATTTAAAGAAAAAAATCAAGAGGAAAAGCCATGAAGGTGCCATAACATTAAATGCATATTATCACACCAATGTAAGTTTGGTTGTCCTCTTACTGTGAGAAAACTATTATCTCACTAGTGGATAATTACTAATGGGTGTTTGATAAATAAGTATTGACATTATTGTAAAAACTTACCTTCAAAATCAAACATTAGAAGGTGCGTTTGGATTTACGTTGTGAAATATTCCAAGAGCTTGATTGTCACAACAACTACTACTATTGGCAAGAATGCATGAGAAGCGAGCTCTTGACGTACCTCAGAAAAACTTGTACGTAAATCCAAAAGCAGCTTATGCTTGAGCTTATGTCAGTTTTGTCAGGAATAAAGTGAATGCAATGCTACACGCAGTACCTTGTTTTATATGCAATTGTGTTTTTTTACATCCCTGTAAGTATATCATTATCTCTTGTGGTTGGGGAAGTTTGCAATAATACAAGCATTTTCCACAATTCACTGATAAGGCCTGTTTCAGAAAGGACTTAACTTCAGGACTAATGATTCATCTTATCCATTGTGTTCTATCGTTCACATGTCCGCGTACCTTCGGGCAACTGATGAAAAAATGGTGGGCATCGGTTCTGCCGTGATGTGTGTTGATCAGCGTCCATTTAACAAACTTAGATTTTCAGATGCTCATGTATCATCAGTTGCTGTTTAGCAATAGAGTTCTCACTTCACAATAATACACGTTGCGAGAGACTAATGATATGTGTTTTGTGAATTTAAAATCAACTGATTGTTCGACCGATCATTCGTTGTTTGTTAAAGGGGTAGTTGATCACAATAGACTTTCTTGAATTGCTAGTGAGCTCAGTCAGTCATCTAATTGAGGCATTTGATTAGATACAAATGTGAATTTGGAGTTCACTAGGTAGCATTGCAAAATTTATACCACAACATAATTATTAGTTGATTTCCCAATATGGGCAATAGTAGTATGATAAAATATAAGACCTACCTGCAACGTGTTGTAGATGTTCGTTCAGAAATCACAATTAAACACCTTTGAACAACAATCAAAGAGAAAAACAAAAAGTGTAAGGTTAGGTTTGTTCGTCAAAATCGAAAGTTCGTCGAATGAGAAAAAGGCGCGAGATTTATGCGTGTGGCACAGTTGCCAAATTAAAGTACTTGTAGTTCACATATCCAACGCGCGCATGCAGCGACCAATTAAAATTATCAACAAACATTTTAATTAATGTAACATTTTAATTCAACAATCATATTAATTCAACAATCATTTTAAAAGATTCTTTTACTACGTCTAACAATAAAAATTTATTTGTTTGTTGAATTAAAGTGATTGTTGAAAATATTCGGCTTCAATTTTCAAATCGTCGAATTTATATGACTGATGAATTAAAATGTTTGTTGATAATTTTAATTCCACATTTAAAATGAATGAATTTTTATGTTTGTTGGACAAAATCGTTTTATTAATCGAAGTATTTCTTGCAATTCAATTTAATTGTTTGTTATTAATTGTTTGTTGAAATACAGTTTCATATACACTCATTCAATATAACAATATAATTCATTTCACATTTTTATTAAGTAACATTTTTTAAACAATCATATTTAATACGTAAGACAATAACAACAAACGTAAAAAGTAGAGGCATACGATTGACTGTTATTTAAAATGGCACATTGTAAAATTTTGGAATAAAATTGTACAAATATTTTCAGAGAACATTTTAATTCAACAATCATATGAATTCATGCTGTTAAAATCGGCAAGAATTATTTAAAGTGATTGTTGAATTAAAATGTTACATTAATTAAAATGATTGTTGATAATTTTAATTCGTATCTCTGATTGTGCGGAAGTTTCAGGAACTACAGTTTAGTCTATTTGACTACGTGTATACTAGCGCCTAATTAAAATTATCAACAAACATTTAATTCATGTATCATCTTTATTAATCAACATTTTTTTAATCAATCAATCTCTTACTTGTTCACAATGGACATAAGCGTTACAAAAACATAACAGATACATAAAACATAATATTGACATAAGACATCATTTTACGCAGGTGGAGAAAGTGTTCACAGTGACCGTAATTATCTGCGTAGGCGCAAATCCGAAATTTAAACTCGGCAAAACGTCAAGAACATAGCAATATTATTTGTGGTGTATATGTGTGTGTCACTGAGATGGAAATTTCAACAGTTTTATTGCTTTTACTGTTAAGAAGACAGAGAGACAAAGTTGTTACAAAACAAAAACGGCGTTGGTGGGTCAGACCTATAAATCGAGACCGAGAGAAAAGGGGAGAATTTAAGAATTTAAGCGTGTCTAGAAATGAAGCTGCATGATGAAGAATGGTTTTTTTCATACACCAGGATTATTCGATCACCTATTAACCTTATATCTTTTGTCCCCTTTATTAAACAATTAGGGTTTTAATCGCACCAAACTAATTAATAATTCGACGTCTATACGTTTTCCATGTCGTGTTGGATATAATCAAAGAACAACACACGAAGGACCAAACCACACCAAACTATGAAATAATGCGCCAAAAACTATGTACCAATTTAAAAATAACCAGATTATGTTGGCAGAAGAGATGTCATCGACGTTAGACGTAGTAACTGAAATGTCAAACCAACAGAGCGCAGTGCTGCATCTTTGTACCCAACAGAAATACACCTAATTCCACTAGATTTTTCATAAAACCTACGTAAAGTTGAAACCGACCCAACTTTATGTATTTTTTATGTACCGTTTCGGTAGGACATACAACATACGCAAACATTTACAAAAAAATAAAAATTATGTAATCATTGTGAACACATACGTTGGTTTGCTA